GGAAACATATTTAAATGAAACATCTTTCACAAAGACAATATTTCCCCTTCGACAACAAAAGCAATGAAATGATCAAACTTTTTTTTGGGTACTTTTCCCACAGTAAAAGCACGAGTAAATGAAAAATGAAAAATGAAACTGTATTTTGAGTGGTAGATTTTTATTTATAATTGAACGGGAAGGAAACAATAACAATATACAATCGGTAAGTGCTCAATTTGTTTTAGGCGCCTTGAAGAGGGCTGCAACCTTAGCTTCCCTTTTCAATTTGGCTCTTTCAGCGCGAAGCGCCTCATCAGCAACTTTTCTAGCATGTTTGAAACTTGTCTCCTGTTCATAACTTTTCACCCTGGACTTCCTATAGTCTTCCCACTGCGCTGGAGTCATGTTTTCTTTGGTTTTTTCAACCAGGCTGATACGTTCCACAAGGGTTTCTGCTATCTGGCAGGAAGAACCAAAGCGTGTGATAGCACACATTTTAGGACAGATTTCTTCCCCTTCCTCATCAAAACATAATGATTCAGCTGTATAATGAGACACCTATAGGAGAGATATCATTCGAGTCAGACAAAATCACATGATTGGACTTGAGCTGATGAATTACAAAAACCTACTGTGGTATCCCAAATACTCTCATACATACCATCGCAACCATCATAGTCTACAACTATATCAAAGTCCCTCACACTACAAAAGTTTTCCATTTTTCCAAGGCAAGCAAAAAAAACAAAAATATAGGTGACAAAAATTTGATTCCACAAATCTCATCACTCATTCTCAAAGCAAAATTATTCCCCTAGGAAAAATGGAAAATGTTTGCAGTGTCATAATAAACATTGAACCAACGATGGAGCCCTTATTCACAGGTCCATTAGCTTCATGTAGGGCACCTGTGACTCAATCAATTAGGCAATTGAATCCAAATGCATAACGGGTATGATCAAAATCAGTGTGTGGTTCATTATGGAAACCTTCACAGGTTACAATCAAGTTGGATGCAAAAACTCTTCCATTCGGAGTTCCAGCCCATGCCAAGTCATCAAACCCTGGAACATTTGTATCCATGCCAATCTGAAGATTTGAAATAAAGATCATGAAGTACAAAGATGCAAATCTTTTGGCCCAGAAGTCTCGAATGCGATGAAAAGAGGTCATGAGGGAAATATCCGCATCAATTCTTTGAGCATCATTTGAAGTGAAAGCGTTAAGAGCATAAGGGCCTGCCACGAACATATCAGCTTTCAATTGGCGTTAGGGATGGAGGAGTCAAAGACAGAATTTCACTAACTGACCCGCAGAATAACCAGGGTCTGAACCTCCTCTCCACCCTAAATGCCCCATCCAACCCCAATAAATTCCTTCCTCTTTGAAGGTCTGAACGGCACTGTTGGTCTCACATCAATTGCAAGCTCGGGCTGCTTGGTAGGTAGATGAAATGCAATTTTGAAAAGCCTCCTTCAGGACTGGATCCATGTCTTTGAACTTCGTGCACTAACTATGATAACAACTGATAGATCTTCCGCATTGATAACTACTACTGTTCCCTGATTGATATAGATAGGTTGTCTTTCAAGTATAGGGAAATATTTCGTCGAAGGCCATCTAAACATAAAAACGGTATCCTGAGGTAGTCCAAGTTCACAAGTAAGTCTTGATTTGAGTTCGGCTCGCTTACGATGCCGGCGCGGATAAATTCGTCCCAGGCTTTCCTTGTAGTAAGCCTTCCACCTTTCTTGGCGCCTTTTCAAAGCGCAAGGAGACATTTTGGACTTGAAGTTCTGTTTTGGAAGGCCGTGCTTGGTGGCTCGTCTGCGTCGAGCCTGGCGAGACATGATGTTCGAAGAGAGATGACCACAATACGAAGGAAGCAAAAGCGAGCCGTATGACTAGTAGGATCGTAGCCGGAGGCCTAGAACACTCCAATCAAACAACCACGGCAGATTCTAACTTTGATTGGGTAATCTTGATTGTTCGGTCGAAGCAACCTATGTAGTGAACAAAGATTTTGATGAATCAGTAAGAAATAAATAAAATAGAATTGAAAGATTGAAGGAAAAAGTTTAAGATATGATCGGGACCACTTTAAGCTCACTTCAATGGGTTTCCTATTCAGAAAGAAGATGATAAAATGTATTGTCACTTTAGGATGAGATCATTTAGCTGGATTAAATGTACTGAAAACTTACGATAAGAACTTCTGCTTGGTGTAGAAGGTAACAGGAACAGGAAAATTAGAATGAGTTTGAATCGATTTGACTGAATGAATTAGGTCTCGTTCTCCGTTGATATGGCTATACTTTGATTTCTGAGTGTTGATTGATTGAAGAATGTCTCTAGGTGAAGAGATCGGGCGACATGGACTAGAGAGGTGAGTTGTGTGAGGCTGAGATAAGGTGATCCTTGTGTGTGAGTTGGTGGGTAAGGGGTGAACCAGGATAAACAAAGATGGGGGAAAGTAGAGATGGGGAAGGGAAGGCCGGTACCGTGTGATACGGCCCCGGTACAGGTCTGGTGATAACCCTAAGCGGTTGTCACCAGGTTAGGGTATGAAATGTATTGTGGCCAAGTGGTGAGTGATGGATACGATTACAGGTTGATTCTTAACCCTAAGCGGTTATCACCAGTATAGGGTTAAGAATCAACCTGTATGACATCCCCCCTTGTGTGTACACCGATGTGTAGGTGTATAATCCAGTGTTTAGTGTGAAGGGTCTTACACACTACACACCGGAGTATACACCTACACACCGCGGTACACACAAGTGTATGTAAGGAACACCAGTGTTTGCTGAAGTGTGTACACTAAACACCGGTGGATAGGCCTGTGTGTACACTAACCACCGGTAGATACATCTTTGTGTACACAACGCCGTGGTTTACGCCGGTGTGTACACTAAACACAGGTGGACATACTGGCGTTTAGTGTACACACTGGTATACCAACCTTCCCATACATCAAACATTGGTCCACAAACTGGTGTGTACCGGTGTACACTGACTATACACCGGTGTTCAGTATACTAATCTGTGTGTACACTAAACACCGGTGTGTACACCAAACATCTGTGTGTACACCTCTGTGTGTACACTACCAATCTGTGTGTACACCTCTGTGTGTACAATAAACACCAGGGTACACCCCTGTGTGTACACTAGCTAAACACACTCCCAGGAAAAGGTATTTTTCCCAAGGAAAAAATGATTACATTTAATGCATTTTTAATTAAAAATGCTCATTTAATGCCGAATAATGCTGATTTAATGCTGATTTAATGCTGATAAACTGCATTTTCAATCATTTTTTGCTCTAAATGTATTCATTTTTTACTTGGGAAAATTACTTTATGCTGGTAGTGACACAGGTGGGGAGTATACACACCTGTGTGTACACTAAACCTCCGGTGACGCCTCTGTGTGTACACTAAACACGAGTGTACACCTATGTGTGTACACCAACCGCTGGTGTATACCCTTGTGTGTACACTTTAGACATCATCCCCTTGTATAACCTTTCAAATTCAGAATCTTGATTGAAATCCAAATTTGTTGTTCAATCAGATGGAGAACATATATTTTATATTTTAAACAGACAAGATAAACAAAAGAAGGTTACTTTTCATGTTAATTGAGATAAACAAGGTCAAGCTTTACTTCCAAAGAAAAAGGAAGTTACTATTCCCAAAACACAAAATATTTTATTAATCATCACGCTGTAGTTGCCCTTTATTGACCCTTCTACGCCACTCCCGGAAAAGCCGTATGTTAGGAGCAAACCTGTCCTCCCATCCAATTGCTTCATCAAACCGTGTTTCAAACCACTCTGTGGGGACGGAGGGGATTGGAAGGGTGGGAGAGAGATCCATTGTGAGAGAAATACAATGAGACGTTCAAATCATACCAATGATGATAGGCTCCACATCTTCGGGAGGAGAGAAGAAAGGCGGAACAGTGGAACTGTTGGGAATGCAGTCAGAATATAAGATGACTGGCCTCTTGAAGGTGTTAGATACTATACATAAGCCGCCTGGAAGAGGGTACCAAAGGTCCGACGTGGCCACTAGCTCCTTCCACTCCAGGATTTCAAGCATCTTTTTGACTCCAAAAGTTGGTGATGATACGTGATCCAGGTTTTCCTCATACCAATCAATATTTTCCTTAAAATGCTCGAGCATTTCACTTCAAACGGCTGGTGCCTCTGATACATTGCGGCCAAGAGAAACTGCCACAGAAGCAAACAAGCATAATCCACTAGGGGGAACATTGGCTGCATGCCTGATGAAGGGGTATAGTTTGCCGGGAAGATATTTCAGGAAATCCCAAGTCTACACAGGTGAATGTTAGAATATTTATCGGGAAGAAACAAAAATTCAAAGTACAAAAATTTACTTACCTGGAAGGAACAGGGTGTCGTGATGATTTTGAAGGGGGTCTTTCCTTT